AAAAAACTAAGATTCGCATTAATATGATTTGCCATTTAATTTGGCGGTCACATACTATAGAGTTTTCCCGGTCCTGTGAAACTGTATTAGTATGCTTTTGAATTTTGCATCATCGGAGGTCAATTTTTTTCGTTACACACTATTTTCTAAAAAAAAAAATTTAAAATGTCAATTAGATTAAAAAAAAAACATTATTATAATTATATATTTATAATAACAATAATAGTATCTTGTTTAATCGTTTATAATCATAATGTAAATGCCGAGATAACATCAATACCTCCGGTTCAAACTTGGTTAAAGGCTTCCTGGGATGCACCACCTTTAATACTTGAAATACTGTAAGTTTTTTGTTTATTATATACATAAATTTGAATTATTAAACATTAAATTAATTTATCTTTTTAATCTAGAGAAACAATTTCAATTGAAAATTCAACAAGTTATTTTCACTTTATTAATGAGTTAATAGAGAATGAAATATTATTTTTGAGTGATGAGAAAGAAATTTATTCTAAAACTATTGAAATAATTTCCAGCAAAAATTATTTGTCAAATGAATCAAAATCATTACTTGAGTTTTCATTATCAATACATTCAACAACACCAACAATACAAACTTATTACAATTATTATAATAGTAAATACAATAGTAATGATCATAATAAATATAATAATTGTAATATAATAATAGATTATTATGAGAATGTTTCATGTGAGATCGAAGAATTCAAAGAGTTCATAAATAGTTATAGTGGCAATAATAATGATAATATCAAATTATTGTCATTTGATCACATATTGAAGCCAAACAAGAACATCAATGGCATTAATAATAATAATTTACCAATAATAATCTTATATTCTGATTTAAATTCTTTGGATTTCATTTATATTCATAAATATTTGATAGATTTAGTTAATGATAATAAGATTATTTACATATTAAGATATAAGCCTTTAATAAATAATAATAATAATAATAACAAAGAATTATATTTATCAGGATATGGGGTAGAATTAGCATTAAAGCAAACTGATTACATTGTACTCGATGATAGAAACATAAATTCAGGTAAATATATTAAATATATTTAACGCATTTGATGAATTAATATTGATAATATATTTGATTAATATTTCTAAATTTTCTTAGAAGATGATAATAGTAATATTGAAGATAATAAGATCGAAGATAAATTGAATGATAATTTATTTAGTGAAGAAATTTCTGAAATTGTGCCATTGAAATCAAGTGAAATCAAAGGTGAACTAATCATTTGATCAGTTAAAAATTGGTCAATCGAAATCTAAATCTAGATCCAAGTCTAAATCTAAATTATATATCTATTTAGATTTGGGAATAAAATCGGCGCAGTTTATTTTAGATTCAAATAACCAATTATCATCACTAATAAAATTATCCCAAGATTTTCCAAAATATTCATATTCCATTTCGCAATTAACATTAAATACATCAATTGTAAAAGAAGTATCATTAAATCAACATTATATTACTAATGAAAATAACATTTTATGGTTAAATGGATTGATTTTAGATCATAATAATATTAATCCATTCAGGTAACTACATAAATTATTAATTGGTTAATTTCCCTATTTACTAATTAATAATTTATATTAACATTGACATTGTTATTATTATTTGTAGTATATTAAAATTATTACAACGTGAAAAAAATATTATTTCATCATTGTTAAATATTGGATTAAGTCCTGGTGTATCAATTGAACTGTTGACTTTGCAAAGTAAATCAGAATCTAAAACATCTTTAGATGTCACAAAAGGATTATTTGATGTTAGAGATCAGTCAAAAAATTCAAATTTAATTGTTTGGTTCAACGATTTTGAAAAAGACGAAAAATATGAACATTGGCCATCTAAAATATTTGAGGTAGACTAATAAATAAATAAATAAATAAATATAATATAATAAAAATTATATTAATATAATGTTTATTAGATCCTTAGACCTGTTTATCCTGGACAAATGAGATTTCTAAAGAAAAATTTATTCACAACTTTATTTGTACTTGATTTATCTTCAGTGGAGAGTCTTAAAACATTAACAGAACAAATTAAAACATATATTGACAATGATGTTCCAATAAGATTCGCATTAATTCCATATATTAATAATAATGACAATGATAATAATTGTATGTAATAATAATAATAATAATAATAATAATCCTACTATTATTACAATTTAATATTTAATTAATTTATATTTTGATTAACAGCAATTCTACTGGCAAAGTCTATTTATTATTTATTAAATCAAGATAAAAAAAATTCAATAATGGAATTTTTAGTTCAGGTAAAAGCAGTTGATGGATTGGTAATATGTTATCAATAATAATGATTTACTTAATTGATTGATTAATTTAATTTTATTTATTAATAGATTTTGTCTGGAATTAATAATAATAATAATCAATTGAATAAAAATATTATTAATAATGCATTTTACAATTTAAATATTTTTAATGTTGATATTGAAAATATTGATGACTCGATTATTAATCAACAAATAAAAGATTCGATTGATTTTAGTAATAGATTTAAAATAAGTGCCAAAGGTGCTTTATTTATTAATGGAAAATATTTTGATATGGATGAAGTAAGTAATTGCCATAATGATAATTATGATGATGATGATAATGATAATAATACTATTATTATTATTTTTTAGATGTATCCAAAAAATATCAGACAAACAATTAATGAACACACATTATTTATTCAACAAAAAGTGAGTATTTTATTTATTAATTTATTTATACATGTTATTTATAATCATGCTAATATATTTATATCATTATATTTATAATTTATAGGTTTATGTTGGTGAAATTAATGATAATACCGACATTTATGAATTATTTATGACTTTACCAAATGTTCCGTCAAGAAGAAATAATTATATATTTATTAATGAATTAAATCCATTAAAAAATATTAATTTACTAGAAAATAATAACGAATATTTTGATATTAAGAACCTAAAATATTTATATCCAGGTAATATTTCACATTCGTAGATTATATATCTAAAAGTTATTTCATTATGCATATAATTAATTTTTTATTTTTCTAGTTCATGGCGATGAAAAAGTTACAAAAACAATAATAGTTATCACTAATTTCAGTTCACTAAATGGCATTAAACAAGGATTAGAAGCAATAAAATATTTGGTAACCATGTATAAAATTTATTATAATAATTTAATTAATAAATATTTATTTATCATTAATCTTAAATATAATTAATAAATTACAGAAAAATTCATTTGATGTTAGATTAACTTTTATTCATAATAGTAATTCATCGGAATTATCAACCTCAAATCAGATTAATAATGAATCAATAGAAATATCATCATTAATGCATTATTTGTTATATGGTGATGATGATGATGATAACAATAATAAAAAACTTGAATTAATTGAATTATTATTTGAAGAAGTTATCAATAATGAAAATAATCTTATTAATAGTTTATCTAATAAGGGTATTAATAATAAAGATTCAATTGAATTTTGGAATAACTGGAAGTTTAGTTTTATTGATAAATTATCACTTAAACCATCACATGATTCTGATGAATCAATAATTATAATTAACGGAAGAGTAAGTAAATTTTCCCAATTAGTTAATTATTAAAGAATAATCTTCAACCAAATTTAATTATTAATTATTTAATTATTCAGATAATTGGACCTATTGATAAAAATGATTTGTTTTTAGTTGATGATTTTGGATTATTGATTGATTTAGAATTAAATGAAAGAATTAATCCTACTCTTGATGCAATTAAAACACTTGATTTAATCAATCAATTTAATTTAACTGGGTAAATAGTTTTTCTTTTAATTATTTATTACATTTTTTAAATTTTCAACTTTTAAAAAAGGAAATTTTTCTTTTCTCTTTTAGTTCAGTTTTTTCAGATTTTGTTGCAAAAGTCACTTCAGTAATCTCTGAATCAACAATTTCTGATGTTCCGTTTGGAATATTTGATAATCAAGAAATAAAACGAGATAGACCATATAAAAAATTATTCGGAGAACATTGGTAATTTAAAAAGAAAATCGGCATGTTATTTTTTTTAAAAACAAATAATTATTATATAATAACATTATTTTTGTTTTTTTAGTCGATTAAATGTAATCGGAAATCTTGATACTGCTATCTATCAATTCGGTGTTTTACTTGATCCAATAAGTGAAACTGCTCAAAAATGGTCCAAAATATTAGAAGTAATTCGATAAATCACCTTAAAAAATTAATTATTAATTAACAATAAATGAAAAAATCATTAATTTGGAAATTTTTTTTAATTAGGTTTTGTCTAAAATTGAGGGTGTTTCGATTGAAATTTATTTAAATCCAACCATATTGCTACAAGAAATGCCCTTAAAACGATTTTATCGTTATGTATTAGAACCAAAACTTAAATTCGACTCAACAGACAGGTATTTACTTTACAAGTTTATTTATTAACATTGATTAACTTTTTATTCGTCTTTAATTTATTTATTTACTTGTTTTTTTAAATAAGTCTTAATCCTTCAGCATTATTTAACAATCTTCCAAAAGATCTACTTTTAACTCTTGGAATGGATGTAATTCAACCTTGGGTTGTAACTCCAAAAGTATCAGTTTACGATCTAGATAACATTCGTTTAACTAATGTAAACGTCAGGGTTGATTCAATATTTGAACTTAAAAATATCCTAATCGAAGGTCATGCACGAGATCTCACATTGAACACTCCTCCAAGTGGATTGCAACTTATTTTGAAAGAGGACATTAACAGCAGCAATGATAAAAACGACAGCATAAAAACTAATAGGATAATTGATGGTACAATTGTTATGGAAAACCTTGGCTATTTTCAATTGAAAGCTAATCCTGGTATTTGGCTTTTGGGTCTAAGAGAGAATTGTAGATCAAGTGAAGTTTATGAAATAGAAAGTGTTGGTAGTGAGGGTTGGTATAGCCGTAATGTTGAAGAAATAGGTTATGAAATAACATTAAATAGTTTTGAAGGTTTAATGATTTATCCACGTATGAGAAGAAAAAAGGGTAAAGAAAATGAGAACCTATTAAATTTTAAAGATGGTGTCAATCTTAATAACGATGATGACGAGGCGAATAAAGGCATTTGGAATAGATTGAGGAACACGTAATTATTATTCTATTTCATATTAACCAATCATTTATCATCATCATTTATCATTTTATTTATTTTACTAATTATTATATATTTTATTAATTATTAATCAATTAGTTTTAATCCTAACCCTAATCCTAATCCAAAAGTAGACAGCAATAATAAGACAAAAGCAGAAATAAATATATTTTCTGTAGCATCTGGTCATTTATATGAAAGATTTTTATCAATAATGATTCTAAGTGTATTAAGACACACTAAAAGTCATGTAAAATTTTGGTTTATTGAAAATTTCTTGTCTCCTTCATTTAAGGTAAAACAAATATCATAATCAACAAAGCAATTAAATATATAAAATTATTAATTTTTTTAATCTTAATTTTTCTAAAAAAGGATTTTATTCCACATATGGCAAAAGAATATAATTTTGACTATGAACTTGTAACTTATAAGTGGCCTCATTGGTTAAGAGCTCAAAAAGAAAAACAGAGAACCATATGGGGGTAATTAATCAATATCAATATAAATTTGATTTTTGTTATATATATACGTGTGTGTGCAAACAAATTTACTTGTCTATTTACTTTGATTATCTTTTTTGAAAAAGTTATAAAATTTTATTTCTAGATGTTTTATTTCCATTAGATTTAGATAAAGTTATATTTGTTGATGCTGATCAGATTGTAAGAACTGATCTTAAAGAATTGATAGATATGGATTTAAAAGGCGCTCCATATGGTTATACACCATTCTGTGATAATAGACCGGAAATTGATGGATTTAGATTTTGGAAACACGGTTATTGGAATGAATATTTAAGAGGAAAACCATACCATATTAGGTAATGAGAATAATATTATAATAATTCAAATAACTGATTCTATAATATTGATATTTTATATATATATATATATATATATCAAAGTGCACTTTATGTTATAGATTTACAAAGATTTAGACAAATGGCAGCCGGTGATCAATTGCGTGGTCAATACCAAATTCTAAGTGCGGATCCAAACTCTTTATCAAATTTAGATCAAGATCTACCAAATCATATGCAACATCATATTCCAATATTTTCACTTCCACAAGAATGGTTATGGTGTGAAACTTGGTGCAGCGATGAGTCATTGCTGGTTGCTAAAACTATCGATTTAGTAAGTCCCATCCATACATATAAATCTAAATTACATATTAAGCGTGTATATATATATTAATAATTATTGTTCTATATTTTGATTTAGTGTAATAATCCAATGACAAAAGAACCAAAACTCGATAGAGCAAAAAGACAAATTCCTGAGTGGGGATCATACGATAAAGAGATTGCTGATTTGGCTAGAAAAATTTCTCAACAAATAGAAAAAGGAAATATATCTGGTATTCTTAAAATAGTTGGTAATGGTGAAATTATTATTAATGGTAACAATGACGTTGATAATGTTGATGGCGATGATAAATCATCATTTACTCGTAGAGTTGAATTATGATATCTAAATATAATTTGAAATAAAATTATTTAATTTTAATTTAATTTATTTATATATAGAAAAGATTTATTAATAAAAATAATTTTAATTAAAAATAAATGTTCTTTGCCACTATTAAAAAAAGTAAACGGTCAATTAAAATCAAACGAGAGTAATGGGTTGTTGAATGAGATTGTAGAAAGATCCAAGAATCTCATTTTTTGATATTTTTGCGTATCTAAGTTGGGCAGTAAACTATCTCTCTCAAGGTTCTTTATGGTATTGTGTTAATGTTCTTTTATTATTATTTTTCTTTCTTCTTTGTAAATTTCATATGTGATTTTCTCTTTCCTTATATAAGCCTCAAGTGTCTGAGTATCATTTATTTTGAAAATATAGGGAGCAATTTTCTCACCTTGTTCCTTTTTTAAAATGCTTTTATAATTCTTGAGATTCATAGTGGCTTCATATTAATTAGTTCTATATACCCACTTGAGAAAAAACAACTTTGAATTTTATTGACCGAGTGAATTGGGATATTGATGGGTTATTTTTTCATGCACATTAAGCATCATTATTCTGTAATCAACTCTGTTTTGATTTTAGGGTGTGCATATATATTTTTTCAAAACTTAACAAGTCAAGCAAGCAACCATAGTACAACTCCCTAATGCTCATACTATGGGCAGTGTATGCTTATTCATAGGAATTGGACAATCTACACTATGATGGATTTTGCCTCAAATGTTCTGATTGGATTGAGCTCAGCAAAAAAGGACGAGGCATGGCATGTTATGCAAACGATCTTTTAACTTTTTTGTTGTGACGTCTGTATATTACGAATCATGCAAACAATGTTTCTTATTATGAATTTTTAATGTTATATCAGTTTGCAAACGTTTACTGTATTAGTATGTTTTTCCACACCAAGCAATCATTTTAATCCGACCAGTTCTTTATCCAGTTATTTTGTACCAGTTTTGCTCCGAGTAAAGTCATACACAAATCTTACTGTCAACTCCTTTCTCTTTATCATTATATCCACTCCTCTTGTGCGTATCACTGTAAACCCTCAATAGCCAACTGTTTCTCCTCTTTCGTGTTACTATTTTCTAGATATTCCAGCAAGCAACGTAAAATAAAAACAAAGCTTTACGAAAAACACCGAATTGTAGGAGTTTTGGTACGTAATTCTAAGAGGGACAGGCTATTTTGAAAGTGCCTGTTTTTCCGCAAAGCTTTGCTGTAAAAACAACTCTGGATAAACCGCTTTTCAATACATCTCCAAAGGAAAATTGATTACATTCACAGATTTTCATACCTTTTGAGTAGTTGATCACTTTCATATTTCTCTTTACCTTTCAATATACCTGGGGCGATTCTCCTCAAAACTCATTTCAGCTTGTAAGAATACAATTGATTGAGTTATTCTATTGTTACTTCTTCCTGGACTTGGCAATCCATGGATTTCTACATAATTCTCTAGAAAATGCAAAATTTTTATTAATCACCATTTTAGTTTTCCATTGAGGCATCTTTTTAATATTATCATAGACTCTTGCTAGAAGACCATTGTTTATCAATGATTCTGATATTTTCAAAATAAGTTCTAACATATTGAGATAGGTTTTTTCTAGTGTATGATGATCTCAATTATAAAAAGTCCTTTTGTTATATCTGGTTTACTTTTTAAGGCATCTACTAGTGCTTATTGATCCACCGCCATCCATTGACTTAAGTTGGGTCATTAAAAATATGTCTTGTTCTGGTTTAGAAAGAGCTTGAAAGGATTCTCTTAATCCTGCAAATTGTTCCTTGGGAATTCTTAAAAAGCAACCACAATTATATCCTTTTTCTAAAAAACCAATTGCCTTTATATATTCATTAGTACCATTATACTTATTATTATTACTAGTGTTGCCTTTCAAAACTCAATAATTAGTTTAGAAAATTTTCAAAACTCTTTGAAACTAGTTTAGACACTATTAAAAACCTTTTGAAACTAGTTTAGAAGTATTTAGAAGTTTCAAAAGGCAATCAATATTAATGCTATCTGATAAGCATATTGAAACCATTATAACTAAAGAATATAACAAAGTTGTTAAAGATTTAACTGATGAGGGTTAAGAAGGTGATGAAGATTCGATTATGGTAAATAATCAGACTGTTTTTTAAATAGCAACAATTTTAATTTTTATTTTTATTTTTATTTTATTTTTTTTTTTTGCAATAACTCAATTCATATATATATATTTACAATTAAGTAAATAAAATATGTGTGTTTGTCATTCTTTTTATTACAATAATAAATGCAATTATTATAAATATATTATTCAATTCCATATAAAGCTTTTATCTCCTTCATTTCCCTCCATCTCATATGGACTCCATGGTCCCCAATGTTCATTAATTCCTCATGATTCTACATCAGGGTTGGCAAATGTGTGGTCCATTGGTGGACTATTGGTGATCCATTGGGTCCATTAGTGTAACTTATTAATGGCAATGTACCAGTCCAAATTCCATCAGTTCTCAATAAACCAATCAATTTACCAACCCTGCTCTACATCCTCATCCAAAATTTGATCAACATCATTGTTGATATTAATATCCAACAGATGTATATTGTGATGATGGTGAAAGTGATGATGATGGCAATGATAATTCAGTATTGTTTCTTGATGGTGATAATGGTAAATTAGTAGCAGTGTTAATGGCAGCAGTCACATTATTACTATCCTCTACATTCACAACAATTTGTTCTTTTTGTGAATGTTCTTTGCCATCATTATTTTCATCATTTTTGTAATCATCTCCATCTTCATCAGGTAGATTTTGAAAACATATATCACCACTGTTTTTGCGATCTTCTCCCTTGAAATTTTTTTTTAAACAAATTAAATTATGGTGTAATAAACTTTATTATCAATAATATAACAATAGATGATAGTGAAAGTTACCTCATATATCATCTTTAATAGCTCAAAAACCTCTTTGGGTTTTAGTGGAGCTGTGCTTTCTTCTACATGACCCTTTATTTTATCATACAAAGCACCCAGGTCAATATAATTTTTGACCAGTACAGGGTCTGTTTCCTCATTTGGTCTTGGGGAATTGAATAAATAAAAAACAAGATTATACATAAACAAGAATGATGGCAAGATGCGATAATCACATATAATGATATTAAATAAATTGTTTTTCCAAGAAAAAAAAAAAATCATATATATATATCAAAAAAAATTTTTTGTGCAACACCAAGTGCCAATAATATTTAATTGATGATTCATCTATGAATCAGAGAAATGCTGATCAATTTATTACAAAAAGGATCAACAGAAAAAATCAAAAATCATTAATTTTTAAGTAATATGGTTTTTATCAAACCAAAATAATAGCATTTATGAATCAATTCAAAATGTTTAATTACATAATTTTATTAATGCACAATCATAAAGTTTTATATATTTAATTCCATGTTAAAATTTTTTCATCTTTATTTTTTATTGATATGCATTTTGAATTTTAATTCTAATAAAAACTTCTATATAATGAAAAAATAATGCAAAGAATAAAGCCTTTTATTTATCAAACTTGTAAATAAATCGGAAATTATTTACAATAAGCTATATGTGACAAAAATCGGAAATAACCAGTCCAATGATTCTAACATTCATCATTAATTCTAGAATTCCATTTAAAAGAGAGAATTAAAATCATTCAAAAGAAACTTGGAATTTTTCTCAAAAGGAAGGTCTAGATTATTTTTAAGGAATCTTAAATTGGACAAGAGACCACATCACCAAGAGTTCCTGGAATAAGGGAAGATCTGATAGAGAATTGTCTAATGAATTTACTTAAAATTAATTCTGAATTGAACAACAATAATAGATAGCTTTGAAAGTAAAGCATAAATACATATTTGTGAAAATTATTATTATCATCATTCAAGACTCAGACTATAGTTGCTTGCCAAAACTCCTCTGGAAATCAATCAGCAGAGTTTCAGCAGGTAACACACTAATTGTTTGTTAGAGTTTTGGCAGAGTTTTGCATTTAGGGATTTTGACAATTAGCAGAGTTACAGCAGGTTACACACTAATTGTTTATTAGAGTTTCAGCAGTCATTAAAAAGTTTCGGCAAGCAACCTTAACTCAAACAATACAAGCAAAAGCAATTTTTTTTGATATATATTTTTGATACAGTAATATAAGAAATGATGGATGTTATGCAGAAAAATCAGATTTTTTTCAATAACAAAACTCTGAAAATCAACACATCATAAAGAGAAAAAAATTTTTTTTACATAGTTAAAGGCAATAAAAAATACATAAATATGTTCTTTTTATCTTACAAGGCAAAAGTATAGTAAGATAAGTCAATTTCCCCCCACTGATCACTATATTGATACAGTAGTACTCACTGATTCATAGATGGATCATCAATTAAAATTTTTAATATATTTTTATATTAACAAATTATTTATATAATATGATATATTGACAAGTATACTAATACTTTGACTTGTTAATGCTATAAAAAAAAATGAAAACATTGATTTGAAAAAGGTAAGAAATAATTAATACTGCAATTATATTTATGATTATTAAAAATTACATTTATTTTTTTGTCAAAATCATTATTTTGATGTGCATATTCAACATCCAAATTTCAAATATCAAAAAGCTAACAAGTAATAATAATAGCAATAATAATAGTAATAATACAAGCACCTTTAAAAAAATGCTTTTTTCACCAGTAAACAATAACAAATTTTGCAAAGCAAAAGGAAGACCATGATTTTTAATGGAGATTTTTCTTAACAAGTGAAAAAATCCTTGCCTAACCCAAGCAAAAAAACTTTAAAAAACAGTAAGCAGGCTGTGTTTTAATTAGGCTGGTTATAAAAGATGAGAGAAATCATTACCTTTATATAATATTATTATTAAATACAATTTCATTCCTCAAAATATTTAATATCACAACTATAGTAGCCAGATAAATAAAATAAATAATAAATGATTTAATATGTAATAAAATGATGACAAGATTTGAGTAATTCATCTGGTATAGTTAATTCAATTTGTTTAGAATCTACAAAATATTTATCACAAGGGTGGATATTGTTAATTTTAAAAATCAATAGAAATGAAAATAATCAATGATTGAATATTAATAACTATCATTATTATTACCAATAATTGTTACTTTAATGGAATTCACAGGTTGGGGAAGATTTGTAAAATTTAGTAACCTGCTAGTATAAATTGCATTTGGATAAATTACTGCAGTAATTGTTGAAGGATCAAATTTTATTTTATCCATTTTCTTAAACTCTTTTCTAATTGATTCTAATTCATCCTGTTGTTCTTTTGAATATCCATAATCTTCAAGTTTATCCACTGTATATAGTGATGTTAGCCGTTTAAAAATCCTTAGCCGGCTAAGCCGTTTACTACCTAAATTGGTAATTTGATTTCTATAA